CTAGTCAAGACTCGAAAGCTGTGCAGTCAGTGTATTTTAAAAAAAAATCCCATTTCTTCCACCAGTCAAGACTCGAAAGCTGTGCAGTCAGTGTGCTGAGGAAGGAGGCTTTTCACTCTATTGAACAAGGCCAAGTACTTTCTAAAAAATGACATTTAGCTAAAAATAGCAATGGGTAGTCCTGCATCTCAATTTAGACTGGGTAACAAATCAATTTTCACAATGACTAAAGCACAGTTGTTTCTCCTGCAAATCACCCACCTGGTTTTTTTCACAGTGATGTTGCTACTAAGTTTCTCTAGGCGACATTCTCCAGTGTCATGGTTGATAATTAAGATACATTCTTTTAGGTAAGGCTTCTTTGAGCCCTTGAACACAGTCACTGGTGGAGTTGAGCCCTATTAAATCAGAAGTCCAGTAAGTGTTACTCATGTTACTCCTGTAGTCTTTTTCCTTTTTTCCCCCTTAAAAACAGCAATCCACCACAGTGATGACAAGTTCCCTACAAGTGATCATTTCTAGCCTTTAAAAATGTTATCAGTTAATTCAAATTAGATTCACAGTAGCCATGATCAAAAGCAGCTGGTGTTTGACTGGCACAGGATTTCACCCAGCTTAGCTTAGTTTGAAACTGATTAAATGCTTATTTCCCAATGAGAGCATGCTCACTGTAGGACTCCTTTTTCCAAAAAGGGTTTCAGTTGCCGTATCAGCAGAGCAGTAAAGCATGGCAGGTAGTAAATTTTCCCTTTCCAGTCTTTCCTGCTTGAGAACTGCATGCACTAGAGCAATAAATACCAAGGGGAAACTTGCACTGCCAACATCCACATGAAGCTTTTCTGTGTACGCAACACTTCTGGGTCATCCTACAGCATATTTCCAGTGTGGTGAATACACTTAAAGCTACAGCGCTGCTGTTTAACCTTCAGGTCTTTTGTAATTTTACACTCTTAGAGCAATTGTTTTTCTACTCTAAAAATCACACAAGGATCTCTGGAACAGCACTGAAACTTCATGCCCTTCTATATTCAGTATACACTTATGCCAACAAAGTACATCCTTCCCTTATGCCCACCACTCTTCAGCCACCCCACTCACCTCAATATTTGGCAGTGTTATTGTCACCTGTTCACCTTTGCCAACTTCAAGGTCTCCTTCACAGGACATATCAATAGATGCAGGCTTAAAGTCATCTAAAGATAAAAACAAACTGGATTATTTACAGGCTTTTCAGGAATCTTATAAATCATAGAATGGTTTAGGTTGGAAGGGCCCTTAAAGATCATCTAGTTCCACCCCCCCTGCCATGGGCAGGGACCCCTCCCACTAGAGCAGGTTGCTCAAAGCCCCATCCAGCCTGGCCTTGAACACCTCCAGGGATGGGGCAGCCACAGCTTCTCTGGGCAACCTGTTCCAGTGCCTCACCACCCTCACAGTAAAGAATTTCTTCCTGATACCTAATCTAAATCTCCCCTCTTCCAGTTTAAAACCATTACCCCTTGTCCTGTCACTGCACTTCCTGACAAAGAGTCCCTCTCCAGCTCTCCTGTAGGCTCCCTTCAGATATTGAAAGGCTGCTATAAGGTCTCCCCAGGGCCTTCTCCAGGCTGAACAAGCCCAGCTCTCTCAGCCTGTCCTCATAGGGGAGGTGCTCCATCCCTCTGATCATCTTCATGGCCCTCCGCTGGACCCATTCCAACAGATCCATGAATGTAGACACCTTTTAATTGCAGTTGGAGGCTATTAAGTTAAAGCCTTTTTTGCCAGTGTGTCATCTACCACTCCCCTGAGCAGATCATTCCATAAGTCAGTAGAATTCAGTCAAGATGGTTCTCCCTCAAGATCCAGTATACATGTTAACACCTTTTAGTTAAAATCAGAAAAATGCTTTTAGGTTTTAATGGTTAAAGTGGTTGAACGAGCTGTGTTAGATTTCAGAAGATAAATCCTCACGTGACTACTATCAGTAAAATAAACAAATAGCTCTTGAAATTGTCCAAAACATGGGAGATATAGACAAGTGACTGAAAATGTGAAGGACATCAATCCTCAATATAAATTTCTGATTTTACCATAACATCCATGCCAGAAGCTGACCAAAAGTTAAGTTTCAGTATATTTATTTTTGTCAAAAGTGAAATTACTTCCCAATTAAATATTGATTTCCTTTTTGGTTTTGTGTTTTGTTGGTTTTTTTTTTCCCCCAAACATCTAAAGTATTGATTAAAATAAGTTTTAAACAAAAGAAGTTATCAATTTCTGGTCCTTTTCAAAAACCTGAGACATTAAAAAAAATGAGCACGTGTTCAGGCACCAGCGTTGCAACTATGCAACATTATCTATAAAACAGCATTTCCACCACAAATGAATTGGGAAGGGCTGCAGCCAGGAGGCCTGCCTGCGCAGATCTAGGGAGATAGGACGGCATCAAGAGGCTCTGCGAGGCACGTGGTAACACATGTGGGTTTGAACCCGTGGTTCCACATGCAGGCAGAGGGCCAGCCTTGGGATGTCCAGTGCCCTGCCTCGCACGCTGGGGACTGGCACCCTGTCGCAGCTGAAGAGAGGCACAGAGGGACCAGGTGTGTAAAGGGGACCCATTAGATGGCACGCTCCCTAGCCACGGCACGTGCTGCTTGCCTCACAGCCTGTCACGTCACCCGCTGCCGGTCACGGGTGGCAGCACTCTGTTACAGCTGGGGAGCTTCCCAGTTCAGGAACACGGCCTGCAACCCACGGGCCAGGTGGCACAGACCACAGCTGGGAACTGTGGCTCCAGCCTGCACACCGACCGGGCAAGAAAACCAAGCTCCAGGAGCTGATGGGCAGGACCACGCACGCAGCAGAAGGCTTTGAGCTAAGGCACAGGTAACAGGCCCTGCCAACCTTGTTTGCCGCAAAACCCCACATGTCGTCTCTTACAGGGATAAGCATACAATAGTTCTGAAGTTTCTCATCAAAATAGAGAATGTTTGTTCCAATACACGGCCACTGGGTGGTTAATACTTTAGAAAAATTAGGATAGTGATTCCAGTATCCACAAACAGACTTCTGATCTTAACTTTTAACCAGCTGATGTCTTTCCCTTTACTCATTTGTTAACAAAAACTTCAGGTGCAGAGAAGCTCTGCATTTCACAGAAGCGGTGAATGTGCCAGTTTCTGTGTCTCATTTGCTGGAAAGGAAGAGAGATTTCAAAACAGATTTCAGAATAATTCATCAAATTACAGGAGTCAGCAAGAAATCATAAGGGCAGAAGGTACCAGACGTGGTTTTTAGTCCTCTTTAAAATTAGGGTAAATTTCAAGTTACAGCATTTGTTTAAATCCATTTATAGCTTTTGCCTGCTCCTTCCCCTTTCCTCCCCTCCCACAGCTGCAGACAATCCTACTGAGTGCCATTCCATTTGCTCACAGAAAGCACATTACCCATCTCACTGCACTGCGTGAAAGCATACGGGACATTCTCCAGAGAACGTATGCGAGACTGAATCTTGGGGATCGGTCTATAAATAATGAGACATCAAAACAAGAAGCAGCAGTCCTAAATTACCAGAACTATAATCCTGAGAGCATTTGTTTCCTAGCTACCCTTAGAATCTTTGAGCACACACCTCTCTAGATAGTAATTATGTACTCAGGGAGGGTACACTAGCTTTGTGATTAATACTGCCTTTAACCTTTGATTGCTGAATTCTACTTAACTTCTAAAAACTAAGCACAAGGAAAGAGGGCAAAGCCAGAGGTTCAGCCCAGGTTGGTTTTCAGCAGAGACGCGATGCTGGATGCCAAAGGTATAAAAAGCAAAGTTAGTGCCCAGAAAGCAGCAAGGGGCAGCACTGGGATATAATGGCCATAGCAGCAACATGCTCTCAGGAGGAAATGAAGCCTAGTCCTCCCCGCATTGCTCCCAATATCCACAGGGATATCGGTACCCCCAGGAGCAAAGGAAACACCATCTGCCCCACACTGCTCCTAATATCCACAGGGACATGGGGACCCTAGGAGCAAATGAAGCCTGATCTGCCCCACGTCGCTGCCAACATCCACACCCCGGCAGCAAACGAAGCCTGATCTGCCCCACGTTGCTCCCAATACCCCCAGGGCTATTGGCACCCCCAGCCACAGGGACTCGGTTCCCGGCTGTGCCCACACCCCTCAAAGATCCCGACACGAAGACGGGCGACTCATATCACCTTCCCCTACTTTGCTTGTGCAGCTGACTGACACTCCAGCTCCCCGGTCGCCTTGCCACGCCACGCCATGCCCTCCCTCACACCGATACCCGCCCCCTGGGCCTGCCAGCAAGGCCAAGCCGGGCCACGGCACCTGCCCGGTCAGCGCTCCCGCCCCTCAGGGGACCGGTGGGCCTGGAGGGGGAGGCCTGGGTACCCCCGCCCGGTAGCACCCAGTTCCCCTCCCCGGGCCCACCGGTCCCCTGAGGGGCCGCCTGCCCCGAGGCGCTGCCCCAGCCCCACGCTCACAGCGGACGGTGTGGAAGGCGCAGCGCGGCTGCTTCTCGAAGCTCTCGCCCAGCTTCAACACCCGTTCCTTGGGGTCGAACAGCGACGGGACCGCTCCGTTCATCGCGGCGGCGGCGCCTCACACCAGCCCCCCTCAGACCATGGCGAGCCCGAGCGGCCCCCGCCGCTGCCACCACCGCCGTCGTCCCCGAACATCCCTCACAGCGCCCCGGGCACGCCCACTCACCTCCCATTGGCCGGCGGCGGCGGAGCTCCTCCTCCTCAGCCTCTGACGTCACGGACTAGGAGGGACTCGGATTGGACCGCCGGGCGTCCCTCTGTGAATTTCCACGAGTGGAAAGCAGTCGGAGGTGCCAGCCCGCACGCGGATATGCAAATAGCACCCGCCTCCTTTAAGGGAGAGCGCTGGTTGGTGGAGAGCGGCCGCGACCACACAGCTGGGAGGGTAGGGGAGGAGGGGGGGGCGTGGGGGAGCGGTGGGGTTAGAGCCGGTGGGTTCTGTCTTCCAATCCCCCCCCATACACCCCCCACCGAAATGGGGCAGCCCCTGCGCGGCGGTGAGGGAGGTTGAGGAGGGGGGGGAAGGGGCTTCCCCTCAGAAGGGCCTGTCAGTGGGTCCCGGGGGCGCCGTGGGGGACCCTGAGGTGGAAGAAGGCACCTGTCCCTCCCCAGCCTGATGGCGAGCCCTTCCCCTACCCCCGCCGCCGCCCGTGGTTCAGGTGATGGCCCTCGGGGAGGCCTCTCAGGCTGCTCGCCCCATGGGGCCTCTCTCGGGCGGCCCTGCTGGAGCCCTGTGCTCCCGGCAGAGCCAGGCCCGCCGCCCTGAGACGCGACGTGAGGGAGAGTGATGGGTGGGTGGGTGGATGGAGCTTCATCCGTGTTTGTTTCCTTCCTTAGGGGGAGACTTGCGGCCCCAGGCACAGAGCAGAGCTTCCAGCTGATGGTCCTGGAGCTGGAGGTTTGCTGGCAGGGTTGATGGCGTAAGGACCCCACACCAGCAGCGAAACAATTACAGAGGGAAAGAGGCTGGAATCAATGGTGTTGCCGGCCCTTCTCTGTTTCAAATGGCCAACGCACCCAGCGCAAGTCTGGCATCTGCGGACCCCAGGGTACTGGCCTTAGCTGCTCAGGTCACTGAGAGCAGAGAACAGGACATCCCCCTGCTACTTCTGAAGTTAAAGGGTAATTAATACAATTTCTGAGATGAAAGGATGAGGTATTGAAGTGCAGACGCTCCTTCCTCTTGCCTCCTTAGAGACAGAAGGTTTTTCTGAGTGTTTCTGGCGGAACTGGAAGCTCTGTAAGGCTGATAATATGACTTCTCCTGAGAATGGTATTGAGTGGCATTTGGCTTGGCAACAGTAAGGAGGAGCTGGGGAGCAAATGGAGAGGAAGTCTTTTCTCCCTCTCAGCTGTCACTGTGCTTGTAAGACCCCTGCTGATGTGAGCAAGGACCTTACAGTTGTTCACATCATTTCTCCCAGTGCTTTTGGGTGGAAAGCAGGAGTGGTCGTTAGCGGTCGATTTTTAAGTCTACACATAGAAATGCAATTGCAAGCTCCCATGTGACTCCCCCTGTCTTTCCTTTTGCCACATAGCCACTGTTCATAGAAACAAGTTAGGTCCTGTTCTAAATTGGGATGTAATTATAAGGAAGCTATATGTTCCACAGTGGTTGTGGTTTTATCTGGCCTAGGAAATTCATACAAATGGGCTATATCCCAGGTAATGTATGTTTTGCTAGTAAATGTGTAATGAGAAAATGGAAACCTAAGTTTAGCTATCTTTCCCAATTGTCCTATAATCTAACGAATGGATTGTAGCTTTAGGAGTGAGAAATGCTGACAAAATGTTTTATGCTGTTGTTAGCACTTTTAGAATTACCTTAATCCTGTTTCTGTGTACACATGTTTTAGAAAAAAAAAATAATAATCTTACACATCAGAATCTTATGCTCCTCTTTGTCTCTGTCCTGCTTTCTTCCCACAGGAATTTTAAATACTGCTTCCTTGGGACGCGAAGAAGCCAAAAAAATTAAGCAAGATATATACAATTATGATCTTACCCAGTACTGCATGCTCGTCCTTAGACAAGACCACTCTCGACTGCGTGGAGGCTGGGCGACTGCTGCCCAGTTAGCAGAGATACTAAGGTTAAAAAAAAAAATGCTAAGAAGTTTTCTGCTTGTTTTCTTTCTGGCCTTTCATCTTGCTCTTTTTCTTTTCAAGCTGTAATACGTTGGCTCCCATCCAGAACAAGGCTTGTTGTTCAGGAAAGGCCAGGGTTAAAGTGCAGGGAGCAGTCAAGAGCAGAGGGGTCAGGCATAGCCTAATTGGTCCTGTTTAATTCATTCGCATTGTGTTTCATTGAGCTGGGTAAACTGTTTGGTGGGAACAGTTTTTGTGTTGGCTTTACCTTTTCATGTGAACAGTACTCATCAGTGTCACAGTTCTTACCCAGTAATTGCTAATTTTGAATTTCAGTTATTTTTAAAAGTTTGTGTACTTAGATTTCCTCTTGCAAAAATCTTCAGCTTGATTGACTCACAGCTTGGCTCATTTAAATACCTATTTAATATACCTATTTGAAATATCTATTTGCATTTTAAACATAATAGAGGACTCGGTTCATACAGACTAGATAGCTTGATGTAGTGATCTTGTGAGAATGGCATAATTAAGTTTAATTCATAGCTAGTAAATAAGACGTCTTTAAACTCAAATCCCCAGTGATGCCATCTCAATCTTTGATGTCAGGGAAAATAATAAGTTTTAAATTTTCCCTGAGTTGTGCTTGATTTTGGCTTAACTAGGGAGAGGAATTCTAAGGCATGAAGCAATTAAGCAACCATCTCTTATTTATGCCATATCTGCAGTATGAATTTTTAATGCCAGTAATTTCACTAAGAGATGCAAGATTTATCACCAGAGTTGTGTGATACTTAAATCATCTCCTATAAGCTATTTCAGTTTGCAGAGGAAACTGAAATTTATTTTAGCTATAAAAATGTCCTTCTGTAACTCAATGAATCTCAGCTTCATGCCTAGAATTTGGTTTCCAAGGGCTTTGTTAAGCAAAGCTTTACGTGTGTGCATTCACAAAAAGCTAACAGAGCCCAGATAAGATGTCAGAAAGCAAAATTCATAAAAAGTCAGGAAGACTCTTTTGTTGCACTAGTATCAGTGCGGAGTACAGAACTGGAAAGCTTCCCAATTGTAAAATGTGCAGTTTCTTGTAAAAAGTCTTCCAGAAATGACCGACGTGTTTGTGGTGAGTAAAATAAGAAAACTGAGATCTGAAGAACTGATTTCTAGCCCACGTGTATTCCTCAGTTAGAGAAAAGTTGTTGAGAGATTTGCTGAAGGTTTTGTGGTAAGTAATGGGGTTTTTATACGTATTTTTATTTCCTGATCTGCACCTCCCTCATCGTCAGGCTTCCTTTATCAGGTTTTTGCCTACCTTTCTATTTTGCCTTTTTCTTTTTCCCTTTTAACCATCAGAACCCTTCCCTAGCATGTGGAACAAGCCTGAACAGATCCTATGAAGCTAAAGGAGAAGGTGCCTTAGATATGTTTCAGACTCAGCCATGCTGCATTAAGCAGTAATATACTTGCTGTCTCCTGCCTGTCAGTGATTCCTCTTCCTTTTGAGGCAGCTACCTTGGAGCCAGTCACAGCAGTTAGCTGCTGTTCAGTGTTGAATTGTCCCATGCCAGTGAAGCATTTCTTCTCCAATGACGTGACATTCATTCTAAGCTGTTCAAACAGGCCTTCAGCTATTCAGGTTGCTTTTTTTTTTCCTTTCTTTTGTTTTGTTTTGTGTTTATTTTTTGGTTTTTTGGTGTTTTTTTTTCCCATTTCAGTCATTGTTGTGTAGGACTAGAGGTGAAAGAAGATCCTGAGGAATTTCACAAGAAATTTCTTCCTTCAGCTATAGACAGCCTGCTGTTTTTGGGAAGACGCTTGCAAGCACGATTTATCCGAGCTATCAAGGTATTTAAATTTCATAGTTAAAAGAGCAGAGAGCCTCCGTGAACTTTCCAATGTTATGTGTTGTATAAGTAGGATATTATTCTAGGGACACTGTACCATGAACATTTGTTTTCCAGAAATTACAGTAGTTTTTCTTGTGCCCTGGAGCTTTGAAACAGAAAACTGTCATTGTGGTGCATTCAGTCCATTACATGCCCAAAGCTGGTTTGTTACCATAGGTTTGTTTAAAGAGTTTGGCTTCTACTTTTCACAAGTTTTAAAGGCAGGGGGAAGGACTGCAATTATAAGCAGGATAGAAGAACTAGAGCATTAGGATAGAAAAAAGTGCCTTACAAAAGGCAGCATCTCAGTCACGGTAGTGTCTTTTTAACTTTGCATATAATTAGTTCAGTCTTTGTTACGGCTCTGTTCCCACTGCTTTATTCAGCATTACAAAAAAGATTTAGGAAGTCTTAAGATTTTAAATCAAATCTGTTGAAGTTTGTTTTGCCATACAATTTCTGCTGCGAAATTGGCAAAGAATTCCAAAACTGCGCACTGCTTCTGAACCTGCACATTGGGAACCCCAAAGGCAGGCTTTGTGAATTTTTAAGTTTGAACAGTTCTCTCCCTCTTTGCAGAGAAGAATGGGTTTGCCCATCTGGGATCCCTCGTGCTTTTGAAACATTGTGAGTTTCAGAATCAGATGAAAAAAACCCAACAAGCGAAACCCATGAATAATTTAAATAACCCACCTCATGGATTCTGATAGTTTCTTTTTACTATCTTTAAAACAGTTTCCCCTTAGTATCTCATTTCTTGGCTCGCTGGCTTCTTGCCTGTAGTTTTGGTATGGAGTTTTGTGCTAGGCACCACAAACGCAATCAATTCTCAGAAAGTATCAGTAGAGTAACATATTTTCTGTTATTTCACTACTGTGGAAGTGCATTTAGTGCTTAAGAAGGGAGCTTCCTGAATGACATCCCAGGAGACTCAAGTCTTATCCACAACATGTAATTTCCCCCACACTTTCTTATTATGTCTCAGGCTACATGCTACTTGAGTCATGCTTGTGGGCAAAGATTTCTTTTGAATGCAAATGCAGTCTACGTTATAATTAGTCCTTTGGCTTCTAAACCTTGTGGTCTCAGAGGTGACTGGGCACCCAGACTTGGTGCTTGCTCAGTGGAACTTTGGAAATCCCACTCTACCAGTGCAGATTTGTAGTTTATTCTGCCCTCATTTGCTTTTTGTAGAAGTCTTTGAAGTGAAGGGAAGTACTGAAATAGCTTTCAGAAACTGACGTATTGCCAAAACACAGAACAGATAATATTACAGCTTAACTTATTACTGTGATTTTGTATCTCTCATTGTCAGCAGAGAACCAAATACAAAGTTAAACCATGACTGACGGCTGGAACTTACGGCAGGGATCTAGGAATAGACTTTCCAGAGTGTCATTTGTGAAGGCTCAATTAATGTGGGAGGTGTCAGGCCAAGTGCTTTATAACAACATTTGTCAGCAATGTGGTAGTATCAAAAGCCCCTTTGCTGCCACACACCAGGATTTGAGATTTCCAGTGGCCTGTGGCTCACACCTGGAATTCAGAATCTAGGCCGTGCCTCTGTATGTGTGTTCATGTGTTAAAACCTGGATCCTACCTGGTCATTTTTCCCACTCCAGTGTTATCACAGGCAGGCACATAACATAGTCTGTTTGGCAAACTCATCAAACTTTACCTTAATACTGGTTTGGTGTTTGCTCCCAGACCTCCAACTAGGAGGTGCTTCTGAAGCCTTACCATGCTGGTTTTAAGGAACCTTTTCCATTTTTACTGTGTCCTTGGCCACTTTGGACCATTTTTTTTCCCCGTGCTGTAATCTTAAATAATATATTTCACACTCTGTGGATTAAATCTGTGATGCATTTGTACTGAGCTATTATTTGCTGTCTTAGCCCTCCTGTGCTATAAAATATTTTTTTAAGGAGTAAACAAAACTTCTCTCTCCCTGTTATGATGTTTTCAGGAATGGATGCTTTTTGAGTATGTTTAGACTTTTCTTGATTGATCTCTGGCCTTGAAGGACTCATGAGTTACTTTTTTTGACTGGTTCCTACAGTTTCACCAAACTCATCTGGGAATTTGATGGTGTTTTGGGCTCCAAATGCCTGAAACATACAAACCTTTCCACTACATCAAGCTGAAGTCTTCAGTGAAGATACATACACATGTGTTTACCTATTTTTTTTTTTTTTTTTTTTTTTTTTGAAAAAAAAAAAAAAAAAAAAAAAAAAAAAAAAAAAAAAAAAAAAAAAAGTTCTAGGAAAAATATTAAACCCTCCTGTGCTATAAAATATTTTTTTAAGGAGTAAACAAAACTTCTCTCTCCCTGTTATGATGTTTTCAGGAATGGATGCTTTTTGAGTATGTTTAGACTTTTCTTGATTGATCTCTGGCCTTGAAGGACTCATGAGTTACTTTTTTTGACTGGTTCCTACAGTTTCACCAAACTCATCTGGGAATTTGATGGTGTTTTGGGCTCCAAATGCCTGAAACATACAAACCTTTCCACTACATCAAGCTGAAGTCTTCAGTGAAAATACATACACATGGTTTTTACTTTTTTTTTTTTTTTTTTGCTTAGGATGAAGAAAACCAAGATTTTTTACGCTGGTTCCAAACAGTAACTGATGCCATCTGCTGGCTGTTCGGTGGGCATATTCAACTAGCAGCATGTGGTAAGGGAAAAGTAAACACATAAAACAACTGAAAATTTATTTATGGCAACTGCAGGTATCAAGAATCACTCTCAAGATAATCTCCACATAGTATTCTACATTGGAGTAGATGTTAAATCAATTTCTTAAAGTAGTCTGCTCAACAGAAACAGCAATAGCTAAAATGAAAACGACCCACTAAAGAGAAATACAAGTTCCCCTTCTAGTCTTTCCAAGACAAACATTAGAAGTGTTTTCCTGTAATTTTCCTTTGTAATTCTATACCTTAAAAAAATCAGATATTTTTTTTCTGATAAGATACAGTTGATCTTTTCACCCGTGTGTGATTAACATACACAGAAACTTGATCAGAGTACGTTGCCGCCCCTGGAAAGTGGGTAGACTTGAAAATAGATTTCCGAAGTTGTTGCCCTGCCAGGGAATTTTACAAATATCTAACAAACTTCACTGTACACTTCAGACCAAAATAAGCTTTCAAGTAAACCAGTGTTAATCACGCTGATTTTAAAAAGCACAGTTTGGTTTTGTTTCTAATATAGAACAAAAACCTAAGGATCATAAGATGTGTAACTAAAAACACACACAGTCAGAAAAATTACTAAATATGTAGATAGTGATACAAAGATGGTGCTTTAATGACATCAGTGGACTTGCATTAAATAAACTTGGTGTAACAAACTGTCAGAAGTCCCTACCTTCACTGGATATTGTTGCCCCAGTGAAAATTCCACTGTTGTAATAAGAAACTGGTACTAGTGTAACATAAAAGGTTTTAAGGCTTTTATTCCATTGCAACACCAGTGCCTGAGGGATATCCAAAGGCAGAAAAAACAGGGCTCAACATGTTTTTTGGATGTTAAAGTAGTTTACTTATTCCAGTAATTTTCAGTGTAAGAATTATAAAAGAAGGAGTTTGTTCCAGAAACAGTATCTGGTTTTACTCGCTGTAGCATATGTTTCATAATGAATTTTATTTGTTTTATGGTATTTTCAAGTCTGGTTCTGATTGTGTGATTTCTTGTTTGCTTGTTTTTGTTTCTTTGCAGTACTGCAAAATGATCACTTCCTGCAGTTGTTAATAACGGATGATGTTGAAACAGCAATTATAATGATGTCTGTTTTACACAATATTTTGAGGGTCAATAGGTTAGTTCTTTTCATATAATTGATTTTTCTGAATCTTAAATTTAAAACTTGATGTCATTCCTGCTTGGTAAAATTGAGCTTTTTCTTATACAAGGAGTGTTGTGGGGTTTTTTTACCTAGTCATTGTAGACATAGAAAAAATAGCTCTTTTCTTTATCTTCTTATTAAATTGAGGGAATGGGAAACAGTTGGTTGAGTTGTACTGCCTGGATCAAATTGCTGGTCCAGCTAGCTGTTATGTTGGTTTGCTGAATGCCTGACATATCTAAAAATAAGTCACTGTTAAAAAGCTCATAGTTTGTAATTAACACTTCAGTTCTGTGTGTCCCCCCATCACTTTTTAATTTTTTTTCCTGGTTTTTAAAGTTCTGTCTTGCTCCAGGTTGATGAAAGGACCCTTCACTCTGTTTTGGATGAACTTGTTTATAAGCTTTCATCTACCTCCAATCCTGTTGTAGGAAATGCTGCTACAAAACTCCTATTGTTGGTGGCAAAATGTTGCAAGCAGCTTGTGAAGTTGCTCAGAGCTCGCTACAAAGGTTGGTAAGCACACGAGGGACCTGCCACTCAGCCTCCTCTTACATTCACTGTAAAAATACAAAAGGTGGAGGTTCCCATCTCAGTTCAATAACTACCCAAAACAGATGAAAACTGCAGTGCTGTGTTGTTGAGTGTTTTTATTTTTCCTTCTATTCTGTTCATTTTCATTGTAGTTTAAGGTGCCGCACCTCTTTCTGTTTCCTAGATTGATTTTCTTCTCTCTGTTGAGGACTCTGCATGTGGCAACTTGTCTCTTAAAGCTGTTGTTTGTCGCTTCCAACCTGATGGACTTTACTTCTTTCTATGTGATGTTCTGCACCTTTTTTTCCTGTGCAGGTTGGCTGTTGAGAGATCCAAGTGGCAGGGTGCCTGTGCTGCCTGTGTGTCAGACATTTGCCAGTGTGCTAAGGCTCCCTAGTCCAGAAGCAGGAAAGTTTTGCTTAAAGCCAAGTCCTGACCCCGGCTGTTAGAGGTCTCCTTATCTGATGGGTGCTGCTCTCTGTTACTGAGGAACTGACTGCCTTTTGCTATCCAAGGGATTGGAATGAACTCTTTCCAAAAATTTATGAAATGAGTTTATCGTTTTGTCTTGATGCCTTTAGATGAGGAGGCTGAGTATGCATATAATTTGCTCTGTTATTCATTATTTAATGAGATGTCCCATTTAATGTTTCTGTCTCTAGCCTAGCAGGGAGCTCCAGGAAACCCCTTTGTCCTCTGTCATGCCCACAGAGACTAAGAAAGAGGCTTTGATGTTTGCCAGATCTTTTATATTCTGGATGTTATTGATGGTCAAAACTACTTGTGAGCAGCCTCAGTCCTTTGGGGACAAAGACAGTAAGAAGTGGGTGAGCAAGACAAAAAGGCCCAATTCCCTTTTTTTAACGCTTGTGCTGACTGCTTATTAGGCAGTGCCAGCCAAATGAATTTTGGGAGCAGATGGGCAGCTTTGCCACCCTTTTACCTATAGAATTGGAAGAGGGCTTCCTTTTGGTATGAAATTAAGTATAACGTGCCTAAGGCTGGTGTCACACTGCAGGTTCTTGTGAAGCTGCTGTGATGGTCTGATCATCCCAGCTGTAGAATGCTGGCTTGTCTGAAAAAGTGCAAGTCTCCATTAAAGGATTATACTTTATTTTGGTCTAGAATCACAATATGCCACAGTAATTTAGAGACTCAATCTCTCTTCTGCACGTTTCCTATTTCCTCTAAGAAAAAAAAATCACTTTTTCCCCTTTTTTTTGTTTTTTTTTTTTTTTTTACGTTAGAGTCTGTATGTTAATTTTCACTCAGGCTTTGGAATCCTTTAGATAGTTTGAGGAACAGCAGCAACAAAGAAAACATTACAGGGTTTCCACCATCTGGTCATCTCATTGAAGTAACTTGGCTTCACAGTGGCTCAGAGCCGTTGCCAGTGGAAGGTACTTCAGCCCAAACTTTCTGCCAGTAAAGGCAGCCTGCCGGTGGTGAGGACATCACCTGAACCTCACGTCTCCAAGACTAGTCCAGTCTTTACACCACGTTTCCAGGAGGGCCTGGGCTTTTTGTCTGCATGGGTTGACGCCTCTGAGAGACACACACAGGGTGCTCCCTGTCAGTAGCTGAAAGGTTCATACAGCTGTGTAATCTGTACAGAAACTGGCAAGTGGTTGCATCAGAGCCACAGGACTTCTGTGAGGAACCTGCTTTGCGTCACCAGGCTACGTGGTTTTGCAGAGCTCAGGCAACATTAGGGCATCCGCTGACTCCATTTGGAGTCTCACCTGTCTCTCCTGAAGTGTGTAACTGTCATCGTCGTCATTCCAAAATGGTGCATGTGTGGTAGAACAGAGGTGCCATTTCTGTTTGCCTGAAGGGCTTTGTGCTTCACGTCCAGATCCTGTAAGAATATATAGGAGTGTTGGAGTTGCTGTGTATGAATATGCTTTTGGACAATAATTTGAAAATGGGAGTTGCCTGAACCTGCAGTTTTTCAGGAAGCTATCCAATCACCTCTCTACCTCCTGCTCTCTTTCCTTTTCCTTCCAACTCCCTGCAAAACTCTGGGATTTGTCTGATACAAAGCTAAAAAGCATGTTACTGTCTACTCGTGCCCTGTGTGCAGCACAGCGAGTGTGTGTGTGGTGCAGGGGAAGCAGAAGTGTGCTTTTCAGCTACTGTGAACCTAAAAAGTTGTTTTGTCTCAGGGATTGGATGAACACGTACTTGCAGTTGGAATATGCTATACAGATAAGACATCAAAGGATTCCAGTTATAAATAAATAAATTTTATTACGAAAAATATGAAATCTGTGTTAATAAAACCTAGCACTTGGATGGTGCTTTACATCCTTGTAGTACCTTTCAATGACTTACTGATAAGACACTGCAAGTACATTGATAATTTAACTGCCAGTTATGTAGACATAATAGATAGTGACTTGGACATACAAAATTGCAATCACTGTATAATAATTCTCTGTGATGGTTGGAGGACCAGATATTCATTGAAACTCAAAGATGACTGATGGTGTTCAGCTCTAGTGTTCCTTTGCACATAGAATCAGATTTGATTTTTTGACTTGAAAATTGTTAGTTGAAATCCTGAAAAGGAAAATTCACCTTAGCGGTATCAAGTGCTTCTTCTCTCTCTCTTTCTTAGGATTAAAAGGGCTTTTAAGTAAACAGTGGACTGGCAAAGGATTTGACAGGGATCTCAGTCAGCTCTTGGACCTGCTGGACTTGGAACAATCCAGTGGAAAAGGAGAAATGCAGGTGCTGAAGTTTAATGGGACTTTTGTATGTGAAATCATAGTTACATGTGATTTATATATGTTTAGAATGGATTTACTCTGTCACTTTAGCGCTTTTAAAAGCCTGTGTTATTTTTCCACTATATTAATGGATTTTTAAATTTTCTATTTATTAATTTTTTTTCCCTCCATCATTTTTTAAAACATCAAGATAATTGTCCTGTGGTATGGGACTGTGACACGAGAGATTGACTTTCTGTTACAGATTCACCATAGATTTCTATACAACTTTAGGGGGGAAAAATTAATTTAGTTTTGCTAACCATAAAACAAAAATAACTGTATCTGCTTTTCTCACATCAATGTTACAAATTTAGATCTCCGAACTCTAGGCAGTATTCACATAGAATTAAGTAAGTCATACAGAGAAAATGTTCAGCAAGGACACTTTCTGGGCTATGTTCCCAATAAAAGAGATGATGTGTGTTTTATGAACTTGTTAAAATTTTACATTCAGGCTTTTCAAAGACAGTACTTTAAAGGAAATCAGAGTTATGTTTATAGAGACCTGCTTTCTTCTTCAACAGATCAGGGTGTTTAGTGTTAGGGTTTTTTTTAAAAAAAAAAGTTCCATTTAAGACTAGAATAGATTTTTTTTTTCATGTTTGTTGCATTTCAGTGACTTCTGATCATACTGCAAATGTAACATTTTTCCTGCTGCTAATTCTCCAGACTTATCTTTCTGTCCTCTCTAGTGTAGGTGTTCTGATTGAATCACCATTATCAAGTGCTTCAGGTGTTTTAAATACAAATTTCTAGCATTGATTGATGCAGATAATATATATTTTTGCTGTAGATTCATTTGTTTACCACAGAGAGCATCAATCCAGATGATCAGATTAGCTGCCTTTGGAGCAAGTACAGGTGTCGTGATAATAATTGTCTTATAGGACCTTAAATTCCCCAAGCAGTTACAAGTACTGAATATTGATGCATTTGAAAACTGATGTTTTTTTGGCCAAATGTTGAGATTGTTCCAAATATGCAAGCAGTAATAAAATGGCTTTATATACAGAGAAAATATTCTACCACCTGCTTTGTTAATTTCAGAGGCAGCATCAAGCAGCTTGTATAATCCAGGCTGCGTGGAGGGGATTTCAGACAAGGAAAAGGCTGAAAAAACTACCCCAAGCAGTGACCGCTCTACAGAGAAGCTTCAGGTAAACAGCATGGCTTTGAAAAAGCACTGAAGAGAAGAATCTAGTAAGAAGGTTTGGTTTGTCTTGGTTTTTCTCAGTTCAGAGTCGTTGGAGCTGTTGTCCAGGTATCAGTGCCCAGGCTGTCCTGGTTCATGAGGTTACTTTGTACCAGGTGTAGAACTTCCCATTTGAACTTCATGTGGCTTCTGTTGACCAATTTTCTGTGCTTGTGGAGGTTCCTCTGCGTGTCAGCCCTGCCCTGCATGGCAGACTGTGATGACAGCCTTGATAAAGTCAAGCAAAATGATGTCCACTGCTCTTCCCTTGTCCACAGAGTCAGTCATCTCATCACAGAAAGCAATCAGGCTGATCAAATATGATTTGCCTGTGATAAACCTATGCTGGCTGTTCCCATTCACTTCCTGTCCTTCCTGGAAATAGCTTCCCTGAGGATTTGTTCCCATGTCCCAGGCTGTAAGTTTGGGCTGACCAAGAGCTCCTGTATCTTGAAGATGCTTTTTTTCCAGTCAGCTGTTATTTCTCTAACATAAAGGTAATGTAATGCCAATACGAGCTGTTTCACTACAGATGCTTGTAGCAGAAACATCCAAACAATGTGCTTTTCCAGCAGTACCAAACTGCCATTTCTGGTGCCAAAAGCTCCAACTGTCCCTTTCTCAGCTGCCAAACTTCTCTGCAAAAAAAAAATACTTTTATGAAGCTTCTATATGTTTTCCGTGTAAAAAATTTATGGCATATGAGACGCTAAAAGTGTGGTACGCTGTAGCATGGGATTGCACCAAATAGCACTAGAGGATGATGTACTGGTGGTAGAATGTTTTACTGGTTCACAGTTAACTTGATGCAAAATTTCACTATAAATTGAATGTGGAGCTGTCCTGGAGTTTCTAATCTGCTGTGCCAGAGAGCTGCAGAAACCAAGGCCCCTAGTGCTTGCTCCGTATAGTGATTGCAAGACATTGTTCTTCATTAATATTTGAAATCTTTGACTCTCAGAACTGGAGTCGCTTCAGTGACCTAGAAATAGTATCCTCTGACTTGGAGCACCACGGAAGAATGGAGCTACGTAAATAATGCTTGTCTGTCTTGAAGTAAGACTTCAACAGTAATGTTAGCACATGTTAAGCTAACTCTTTTGAGAAATTTGATGTGAATTTAACATAGGATAAAGGATCTAAATGAAGTTCAGACTCTGCAGCAAGTTTCTTTAACCTTTTTTTTTGCACATGTTGAGCATTACCATGTCAAAACTAGGCCTTAGAAATCAATTACTCAATTCACTTTGCATTATGATCAAGGTGTTAGAAAGTAGACAGTTACAATTTGTTGTCTGACTGCATTACGAAAATATTGGACTATTTAGGGTGTAATCCTTAACTTCTGAAAGATTTGCAGGGGCAAGCAGTGTGTCCATAGAGGGCCACTAGCCACTCCAGCTTTTGTGCTGAAACACCAAGAATGACATCCTTGGCACTCCTTTTTACTCCACCATACACTTTGAGACAATATTCCTGCCCTCATCAGGCACTTTGGAAGCCAAAATAGAAGCCCAGAAAACTTGGATGATGGGCAAAGCGTAACGTGGTGAAGCAGAAGGGAAAGGGTGGCGAGACTATTGGCAAGCAGAAAGCTACTTGACTTGTGTCAGATTTCCAATACTGTAAGCGTTAGTATGTGCCTCTTGAGTAATTCTTGAGTCATTTAAAAGGATTTTTGAATGTGTTTGTTTAATATTGAGAGGAATGGAAATGTATTAACGTCCTTACAGTTGTATGTTCATGGCTCAGTCAGTCCCAATGTGCTGAGTAAATACAGTAGCTGTACAGCTCCAGTGTTGTTTTCTTTTCTGTCTAGTTCAAAGCTGCAGTTAGTGTTACACTGAATTATCGTGTTTGGAATACTCTAAGCATGACTTTAGAAGAGGTTTCAAGAGGACTTTTTAATTTTTAACAGTCAGGGTTTGGTTATATTCACAGATTTATTTTAGAACAAGTGTGGTTAAATACTACTGAGGTTGAAACTCCAAACTTGGCTCACCTGCAGCTGCAGTGGAAGATCTTCAACTCTGCAAGTTATAAACTCCTGAAACTCTGGTTTCAGAAATGTCTCCTCAGTGAATATTTAGGCCTGTAATTTCTCCTTGAAGTTAGTTCGCTTTTATATAGCTAATTGTAGAACTGTTGAAATGGCAATAATTTGTATTAGTCATGCCTCAAAAATCAAACCATTTTATATATATATAAAGAGATGATCACCGGTGGTCATCATGGTGGAGGCTGATCTGTGCCATAAACTCCTGTCACACTGTATCTGTTTTGCTTTTGTTCAGAGGCAGTTCCCTGTCACAGTGTGGTCTTCTGCAAACAAATAGGTCTTATCATTAGGAGGAACTGAGACTGAAGAAGAGTGTGTGTTTTGCAGGCTGCATGGGAAAGAATCAGTATCAAATTTAAATACCTGACAGACACCATTGGTAGTTTCACAGATGCACATCTGAGAGGTTCATGCAACATTCTTGTAGTTTTCCACCTAATAGAGCTGATAAAAATTTCTAGGGAAAATTATTGATAGTTTTATCAAGAAAATGTCATCAAAAGTTCTGTTTGATCCTGTGACATCGTTCCACTTAGAATTATAATATGTGCCTGCCTGGATTAAAAATGCAAAGATTTACAGCTCTAATTTGCAGAAATGTGGGCTGAAGACCTCTGGTTTCCTTGAGTCTATTCTGATGTAATCACATATGCTATGGTCTGTCTGTGTAGGTGGATGTGTGGGCACGCTTCAAGTCTGCATTACTGTCATAAAAGGATTATGGTCTCTCAGATCGTGGTGGAGGCTGTTTATCAGTTCGGGTCAGATCGTTAAATCCAGAGCATCTCTTTCACACAGTGGCTTCCATCCCATCTTCCCCCACCCAGTTACAGAGACTGAGGAGAAAGTATGGTTGGTAGAAAAAATACAACTCAATTTATACTGGTGATGGGAAACACACAAATAACTCAATAGTACTGCGAATCTAAAGGTATGTGACACGTAGCGATACCAAAATTGCTGGAGGTTAGTTCTGATCTATGAACGTTTTTTTTCCCCCTTTGTGGCACTCCTTATGCCTCTGCTCTGTCCGTTTGTTCTCTTTCCTAGTGCTTAGGGTGCTCCTTTCATTGTGCTTGGAAAAGTGCTGGAGAAATGCTCAGGGCTGTGGGTCCCTTGGGGTACTCAGGTCCTGAGCGGGCAAGTGATTTCGCTGCAATAGGAGAAGAGGAGTCGTCACATCGTGACCTCATTGTAAAGTCTCAAGTGTTAAACTGCTAATGGGGTCAGGTCCATTGGGACAAGAAGGGGTAGTGAAGGGAGGGGAGTCCTAGCTCACAGCTCCTCATGCTTCACTGAGACCATGTCAAAGTGGTCTCAGAAACTATTAGTATCAGTACATCACTATATTTAGTATTAATATATTAGTTTCTATATTAATATGTTACTGTATATATATAATTGATTTAGAGGCTATTATTAGCTTAAACTCTCTGGGGGCCAGCTACAGAGTTTTCAGATGTCTCATCTGTGAAACATCTGCTGGGGCTTTTCGGATGCCAAGCACAGCGGGGCAACATCCTAACAGCAAATTACAGCAACTAGTATAGATCAAGACAAGTTTGCAAAAAAATTCTTTCCTAGTGTTCTGTTAACAAAGTTGATGGAGAAAACATGTCAGTCTGGATTTCCTGGAGCAAAAAAAAATCCCTCCAAATTTAAGAAGTGAGCCTGAACAGCCAACATTCTGATCTACTCTTGCAGTCAGTCCAAAAATAATAGCATGTATTATGGAAAGCAGGTGCCACGCTTGATGGATGCACTGGAAAAGGTGCGTGCTGGAGCAGATGACTAATGTTGCTTTACCTCTTCCCCAGATGATGGAATCAAAGTTGTTGTTCTAGTTCATGCTGGCTGTGAATGTCCCACATGGAGCACTGTTCCCTTCAGAGTCCTTAGAACTTTGTCCTTTGATTGGATACCAGGTTGAGCGACTGGCTCTGATTTTTTCATGGCTATAGACAGTGTGGTGATTTGTTTGCTTGCAGGTGATTTCTCGTTGCTCGGTGTGGTCCTGCAGCTAACAGCTGGGATGGCACGTTATTTTGTGGATTTCCTCCCTCGATGCTGGACCATTTAACACAGAGAGAACAAGAGCTGCTTTTAAGAAATGTACAATTTAAGCTAATTGTTAATGTATTTGTATATTGCAGAGCTAAGCGGGAACAGGAGCTGCAGCACTTAAAAAAACAGAAGGAAGAGGAGGCTCTAAAACTGCAAATGCAACTTCAGAGACAGAGGGCCATGAGACTCTTCCATGAACGACAGCTGGCCTTACTGGAAATAATCCATCCCAGTATGATATATATTAAACTATATCAGAAGATTAAACTGTCTGGGTCTCCTTAAGAACAGTTTCCCCAAATATATTTCCTAATCATGTGTGTCTGTTTGCACTTTAGTCTTACTATCTCTTCTGACCCAATTATCTGACACAGAATATGCTAATTCTACAAGGGCTCAGTAACTACTGATCAAGATCTGCTGCCTTCAAAATGGCACAGGTGAAAGGGAAATCCAGTTTTCTGGTGTTACAAAGTTCCATTGCAGCTCTAAGTTTCTGAGACCTAGCCCACAGCGAGCAGACCTTGGATGAAGAGGGGTTTTTAACTGATAGCACCCCAGCTTTTGTAGTATTGTCTAGTTTGAGGTGTAGTAGTTCAAAAGAAAATTGTTAAGAGAGCCCAACCCACAGTCTTTATAACTGAATTTGTATTACGTTTGTAGGTCAGGTAAATAAATACATGGAGGAAATGGAGGGGAAATCAGCATTAACTATCCAGAGATTCTGGAGAGGGTATAGAGCAAGGAGAAATTTTCATCAACAGAGACAATCACTTAAGGAGTATAAAGCAGCTGTTGTCATTCAGAGAGCAGTAAGTATATGCACTTTGTTCTGACAGTAGGCAGGACTGAGGGGATTATTGCAATGCCACAAAATGCTCTGTTTATTCTCTTACTGTTGATGTGGCCATAATTGATTAAAAAATTATTCAGAGGATGATAGTCCAGAGCCACAAGTTGTTTAGATGGGTTAAACATTGCATATGTTACAAAATCTTATGCAGTCTTGCAACTAAAATATAAGAGGTGCCACTTTGAAACCTGAGGTTGGAATTTCACCACACTACAGATGAGTCAGTAATTTATTATGAGTGTTCTTATTTATGAATTAGTATTCATGCGGACCGTTGTATGTTGTCTTTTCAGCATCATAGCTAAATTTATGCTTTAGCAGATGCAATGCTGAAATGTTTTTCTTTCATTGATTGATTACAAACAAAGCAAGAAGACAAACTTCCTGTGTGTGATTGTCATATTCTCCTTTGTTCTTTACAAAGGCTTTTAAATTCTTGGAAAAACGAAGGAGGAGGAGACCTCTCTCTCCTTGGAAAGATCCCAAGGGACTGACTGATGAGCAGAGACTAGCCTTGCAGCAGAAGGTGGATGACTACATCAAATTGCATCCGGTCTGTTTCTTAGTCATTTCACAATTCGCATTAATGATGTAACATAAAATACTGTAGGGATGAAATATATTCAGCTTCATAAATTCTGATCAAGATAATCCATGTGAGGTATGCATACATTAACCCTGCTGCTTTGACAGCGAGCCACTAGAATATTGGGGATTTTAACCATTAATCTAATAAAAAAAAGTCAAAGCGAACTATAATTGGAAAATTTATATACTTGATGATGGATAGCTTTGGAGAGATCTGCAGAGGAAGCAAAATTATTAAGTTAACAATTAAGAACAGCATTTGCATTCCTTGTTTGGACATTATTCTGCCCCCAAAAGATTTAAAATAACCAGCTTCTAATTGTAACAAACTGTTATTTCCCTCCAGGCTTCCCAAATGTCAGAAGAAATGAGTAAAGAATTGCATATGCAGGCCCAGGAAAAGCTGGCACAGTTCCTGTTGAGGAGCAGACTGGATCAGAGAGCAGCGCAGCGGAGAGAGACGTTACTGGCTCAGGTCAACACCGATGTGGAGCTGCTAATGAGTATGTGACCGCTCTGGTCCTAGTTTTGATTACCGTTTGGATTAAACTAATTTAGAGAGAAAATTAGAGGGAACAGTGGTAAAGCCTCATTTCAAAACTGAAATATCTTTCTTCCTTTGCCATCTGCCTTATCTTGAGATTCAGGCTTTGTTAGAGATTATCCAAGTGTTGCTATAGGTTACGTATACACAGCTGCTTGTCAAGGAGCATCTTGTTCTTCTGCTAAAAGTCTCTCTGATATCTTCACAAGAAAGCAATAGTCCTCTAAAAGGCATTAAAATTTGTAAGAAGGGGATCTCACACAACCTCTTACTCTGCTTGTTTCATTTTGTTCTGTTTTCTTGTGTTGTAAGTAAGCCACTGGTTGAAGTGCTCTCACCTCTTCCAGATGAAGAGGGAAATCATTGAGTTATGAATTCTGAGTCACGTTTTCATTTTCTCTGGCGTGGCTTTATTTGAAATGGAATTCACTCCTGTGCTGTCTTAATTCCAGACAAGTAGCCTGGAGTGAAAGAGTGAGAATAGCAAACTGCAGCCACCAGAGAGCACCCAAGCTGGACAAAATTCAGCAAGTTACTGAATTCCATTATTTAGTCTGTCACGTGCTGTGTCACTGCAGCTCATCGCCCCCTGAACAGGCAAATCAGCGACAGACACTCGCACTGTGCTGGGTCCCCCAGGCAGGGAATAGACAGCGCTGCTGCATGAGCCCTGGAAACATGACACTGATGTCACCCTGCACCAGGAGCCCTGATCTGGCAGGAGCGACCAGGACCTCCTCTTTCTCTTAGGTCATAGTTTCACAAGAAGTCATTTTAGTGGATGCCACCACTGCACCTGAATTAAGTAGTCCTGCTTTCCCCCCTTCTTCCCCCATTATGTGTTTATTTTTTCAGATTAGCCTTAATTTGGATTACTTCTCCAGTCAGGTTTATCATGCAACCATAAAATTGCAATGCCAGTGTAGGGAAAGGACAGTGGGAAGTGGGAGGGTAGTGCTGCTTCTTTTTTTTGTTTGAAATACTCCTAAAACTGCAAGCAAAATACAGAAAATAATTCCCCTTGTTTTCACAGATGCTCCAGGGTTAGCAGAGACCACAGGAAAAGATCTTGATGTCTTTATGAGCCGATCAGTCCCTGTAGCTACCAAGGCAAGACAATCCCACAACACTATGCTGAAATACACTCGCTGGCCGTGGTGGAAGAAGCTTGGAGATGAATTTGTGGAGGATGATGTCATTCCTGATGATGCCCTAAATGCAGAACTGGGAACTCTGTTTATTGGTGGAAGGAAATCCTTTTAGGTAACAGGCAGAAGAATTTCACAGTCAGCCAGACTCGTATCTTGCACTATGTATTCACTTGTGTGTGTTTTTAAGGAAGGAAAACACTTGAATTGTAAGACAAAAAGCACTGAAAAAGACCAAAGCCTTATTTTAGTGCATTTTACTTATTAAGAATCTCTTCCTGTACATGAATAGTTAGATCCTATTGATTATGTTGTTTCAAATAGGATTTAAATACTGTAGTTGTAAACGAGAGGATATTTTGTAATTTGTCCCACTTTAAAAGTAAGTTCATAACCTTTGGCTTTTCAGTTCTTATTCAGATCTTATAAGAATTCTTATTCTTACGTGTAAAGAATCATACCATTGTAAAAGCCTGGGCTTTTATAGCAAAACACTTTATCTGGTGATGTGCTTTGAGATAAAGATGGGTTCAGAACAAACCAAGACTCCAATAAGAAGTCAAGCAAGGGTGGGCAAGCTGGGTGCTTATGGCAGGGTAGATGAGCTAACTCCAGTTAGCACAGGCAAAGCTTGGCCTGAAGAACATCACCAGCCTCTTGGTAGCAGCAAGGGGAAAAGTAAAAGGAGGGAAAAATGCCAGTATTCTTGGATTATATGTGTTTTCCTTTAAAAGTGTGCAGTTCTTCCCACAACCAATGCAGTGCATTGTTAACACAGGCACAGTCCAAACTGTTACAAGGGATTGTAGCCTCAGTGTGACCATCTGGACCATCAGCTCTGTCTTCTCAAACCATGCAGATGCTGTTTAATCCGGAAAGGTCTCCAGCACAGGGACCTGATATGCAGTGAAGACCTACAGTCAGGGGCTGAAGGCAACTGCTTATCAATGTGCCCAGAAAGCAAGGAGAACTCAAGGCCACAGCTACTGCTGTAGGTACCTGTGCTATTTTTTAAGTGAGAGGCTGAGAGAGTTTTAAGAATTAGATCTTACCTCACTGCAGAGGAGGAAAAAGCGCAGTGATTTCTGCCAGTTGTACGTGGGCAGCGATACTGGTTCAGCATGTTTGTTTTCCATTCTCTTTAGAAGGTTTTGAGTTTTAGTTTTAGTGGAGATGAATGGAAAACAAATAAATAGAAATAGCGGGCAGAAGCCCAAGCCCGTTCAGATGCAGCTGATACATAGAAATTAATAACTGGAGAGCTGCCAAGAGGAAGAGCTCTGCTTTGGGTTAATTTTTTTAACAGAGCTGTGATTTGGAAGGCACTGAATTGGCTCTCCGCTCCTTTCTTGGAGAGTTTACTGGTGGAACAATCCATTAAGTATTTGCCAGAGCTCTTGCATGTGTCTGTTGAGTTACAGACTGTTCTGCGCAGCCCTGCTACTAGTTTTAGGCTGTGCTTGTAAGATGACAGGTCCCCTACAGCCACCAGCGTGGAGGGGCTGTGGGGCAGTCACCAAGCGCTCCCAGGGATGGAAGCTACCCCCCAGCAGCTGCCAAGCTCTGGAGAAGGCCCAGCATCTCTGGATGAGCTGCAGTAAGCCAGCTGGTCCCTCACAAATACACAAGTCCTCTGTGCACGGCATAGTTCCCTCTGCCGTGTAACCACTGACCCAAACTATTTTGAGACAGCAGCCTCTGCTGTTATGTTTATTCCTAATCACCTTCATTATAACAGCTCTTTAGCACAGGGGGATGTTCACAAAGGTGTTTTGCTTAATGTATTTAATGTAAAGAGATGACTCCCTCGGCCAGTGTTAAATACCAACTGAATTACAGAGCCATCTTACCAAAAAGCCATTTATTGTAATGGCCTCTGCCACTCGCTGCCATTAGAGTGGGTAATGAACTCCCCCTTTGGAATATGCAATTTGCTGGATAATGGGGGGTTTTTAAGTGAACAGAGAGCCTGGTGGAAGGTGCAGTCTTGCTGGAGGAATTCAAGTTGCTGCGTTGTGTATTCCCAGCCCGGCTCCACCGCTGCTCTGGTAAATAAAAATGCCTCTTCTTACTTTGTGCTTGTCACCAGGAGATCTGTCATCACCATTTTACAGACCAGGGAAACCAAGGCAAGAGAGCCATGAGGGAACATGTCCATGGCCATAGATAACTGTATAACCTGACACTTGTTTCTGTTACTGTCCCAGGCAGAACAAGCCAGAAAGGAGCCACTGGAGCATGCTGGGGTAGTGCTGGGAGATGCTCTTGGATGCCAGTCGCTGTGGTCAGCTTGAATCTGGGCCCAGCAAAAGAGATCCCCAAGCTCCCCTGCTTGCCCCCCTTTGCTCACAGTGGGAGGGATTTGGCATAGCTTGGTTCATCTTCTCTTCAGGTCCTCCTGTGCCATGCACAGGATGTGCCGCTGGCGACTTACTTCACTGCAGCTCCTTCTGGCATGAAATACTCCTGCCTGAATAATGGGAGCAAACGTAGACCACTGAGCAGAAGCCACCTCCAGCCTGCTACCAGGTGAACAGTCCTGTCACCTAGAAAAAGGCAGTAAGAGAGGCTGTGAGCTGAGATGGGGCTAGTCCTGCCCCCGTTTGTCTACTTGCCACAGACCACAGGCATGCCTGGAAAGCACATAAATGTGCCACACAAGTGGTCCAGCTGGGTAGGAGAATGAGCAGAATTGGGTCATGCCCAGCAGGTCTGGGCTGTGCTGCTTTGGATAGCTTATTGGCCTGCCCCAGCAGCCTGGAGACAGACTCTGCTCGCCCCAGAGGAAGCGTGGGGTGGAGTGACAAACCTGGGGGGCCACGCTGTGATGTGAGGAGGGGCAGAGGTGAAGCTGGAGCTGCGAAGGCAGCAGCGCTCAGGTCATTAAATATTGACGCCATCTAAGCTGGCCTGTGGGGGCGATTTAGCTGAATTGCAGGTTTCTGTTGCTGTGATAAATTGGACCAATTTGTCATGTGGTTTTGTTTCTTCCCTCCCTCAAGTAAAGCTATACAGGGGCGTTACTGCCACAGCTTCAGCAATCTGGAAAACAAAATCCTCTGATGAGATAAAAAACGAAGGGTCAGTGACTGTTCTCCTGGCAAAGGTGCCATCAGAGTTATGAAGCAGGAAGAGGGCAGCAAAAGGAACAAAAAATAATAATAAAATCACTCAGCCCTTTCAGAGCTGGAGACAAAGCATTGTCCTCTGCTGGCTCCTGCAATTGAGGAAAATTCCTGTTTATGCAGACAGATACATTTTTAATTTTTTTAGATGTAACTGGACTCTGCAAACAACAGGATGCTCATCTCCAGCAGAGACACCAGGATGCGCTTGAGACCACGCTGCTAAGTCCAAGGGCATCTCCTGGCCTGTCAGGCTGGCTGTAACAGGAGCTCTGAACTGAGGACAGGAGATAACCCCGATGCTATTTCACCTCTCGCCGCCAAGTCTTCCACTGCTGATTTCCATGGGAGCAGAATCTGGTGCAAACATCTGCTCTCCACTGCAGAGTATCACGTACATCAAGGACAAGGAGAAATGAAAGCTTTCTCCAAGTAGCGGAATCGGGGCTATTTATAAATGGGCATGCATCAGAAAAGGAGGAGCTGCAACGATCATCGCAACTGGTCTCCGAGTTCTCCTTATCTTCTTCATAGCACAGTAACACCAGGTCATCCTCCAGGCATCCTTCTGCACAGAGAAAAACTCTTTAAAAAAGAGATTGTTTACTAAATGAATGATATATGGGCTTACATTTACCTAAGGGAACTCCTTTCACCTCTGGGTTCACTCTGGCTGCCTTAGGACGGAAGGGCAAAGTCTGGCAGGTGAGGACCAAGGTCAGGACACCGCGGCCCTGTCAATTTCTCTCAGCTGTGCCAGAGAACGCATCTGTGACCTTGAGAACATTCTGTCTCTTTCTTTTCCTCTCTCAGATGAGGCTTATTGACCAGGTTTCGTATGTTTCATGGTAATTTGTTTTCAGAGCTTTTGGTGGAGGATGCTGTGAGACCAGTGGCTCTGAAATCCCTCTCTATATAAGGTGAAACAGGAGTTTGACAGGCCCCAGAAAAAAAAACATTTGTATAACCTGATGTTGAACACACAGAAAGACCTCAGGGTTGCCATGCTATTCTCTCCGAGTTCAGCTTTTCTCTGCAGAATTTAGTTCTTCTCTATCTAATTACATCTTCAAACAGAAACAATGTCTTTAGCTATGCCTGATCACTTAATAAAACCCATGAAAGCCAGCAATTCTGATCAGGGAAACTTCATTTAACACATCTCGCCAATCCAGAACCTGCCTGTTTGGAACAAGATGAACATAACACACACACACACACAAGACGGATAATAAGACCCAGCTCAATCTAGCATTACGTGATAAAGCCAGTGAACTGCGACGCTTAATCCTAGAAACAATCAAAGTAACCTTTAAGTTTGCCAAGGCCCTACGGTCTGAAAAGGAAGAGGCGTTCAAGCTGGCACTGCTACCCCTAAAATGAATGGTGGAACAAAGTAAAATAGTTGCAAATGCAGGCTGCGACTCAGTCCTGTGCTGAGGAACAGGGCAAAATGGAGGCATTACCATTGCCTTGGCTTTATTCTGAGCAGCTCTGGAAGCCTGTGAAGGCTGATAGCTGAAATAGCCACAGAAGTCACCAGAGCCATGCTTGCTCCAGGGCAAAAGAACGTGCCACCTGTGACCAGATATTAAGGATTTCTGAGGTGGTCAATCTAAAGGAAATCTACTAGATGTGGGAAACGAGGGGTCCTGAGCGCCCTAAGGCAAAGCCCGGAGGTAACACAAACCCCAGCTTCCTCGCTGGTGTCTCGGAAACTGCCAAGCAAGGAGGGGAGCCGGCAGCTCCCCTCAGGGCTGAGGAGAGGGGTGTCCGGCCGCCCGGCCGAGCCCCCTCAGGGCTGGGGAGAGCGGCCCTGTCCCCTCAGCTGCCTCCCCTCACCACCCACCCCCCCTCCCTCCGCCTCCAGCGCGCGGCGGGCGGGGCCCCGCGGCCGTTGCGCGGCGCCGTTACCCCCCTCTTCCTCGCGCCGCCGCGCGCCCGCCGTTGCCGTGGCGACGGGCTAAGCCGGGGCCTGGCTGCGGCGCGGCGGGCGCAGAGGGGGCGGACGGAGGGACGGACGGGCGGCGGCGGGCCGGTGGCTCGGCGCTGCCGGGGCATGCACAACAAAGGCGGGAGGCGACGCGTCCCGGTCGGGCTCCGCAGGTAGGTAGGTGCGGGCGGGCGAGCGAGCGAACGCGCGGGGAGGGGGTAGGGGGCGCGGAGAGGTCCTTTCTCGGCAGCCGCTCCCGCAGGACGGCTGCTCTCCGCCGCGCTGAGGGGAGGCGTTCTCCTCACGGGTAGAGCGACCCGCGGCGTGGGCTCCGGCCCCGGCGCCGCACCTTGCGGGCGAGGGGGCTGCAACAAAGGCAAATGGCTGCGTGCCGGGGAGGGCTGCGGGGCTGGCGGTAGCCTCCCTGCCTCCGCCTGCCTCCTGCCCCTCTCCCGGGCGGCATTCGGGAGGAGGAACCGGGCGCAGCCTTTTCTGTCTGTATCTGGACATCGGTCCCGGGGGCCCTTCGGGTACACCCGCTAGCTCCGCGCCCAGCCCCGGGAAGCGGGGACACACGCACACCCCCTTCCCAAAGCCTTCCACGCCTTTCCCGGCTGCCACCTGCTCGTTGCTGCGGGACCCGCATGCCCCCCCATCCCCTGCATTTGCTCGCCCCTCTCTCGCAGCGCTTAGCCGTGGCTCCCGTGGGCGCAGGGGCTGAAGGGCTCTGCCCTGGGCGAGCCGTTCTCCCGGGCTGCGGGCTGCTGCCCGCCCTGCCCAGGGCTCCGCAGCGGCCACCCGGCTTTTTCTCTCCGGGTCCTAAAACAGCAGCCGCAGAGGCAACTTTTGCGAATTGGCAGGTTATAGAGCCTTTTAGATGACCAGAGGCTTTTGTCCTGTCCTATGCGAGGTGGAATATTGTGTGCTGGTACGGTATTAGCCTGAGTTTAATTGTTGTAAAGGGTGGCTGAGCAGCTCTTTACATCTGCGGGGTGCAAGTGAGTCATTTCTTAATTCGTTTCCATGTGATTCATAACGTTTTCAACTCCAGGATGCATTTTGCCAAATTCCTAATAGGTTTTGATACCTGAGCGATTAGCAAGGGCATCTGTTCGAATCCATAGAGGTACAAGTTTTACTGCATTGTTGAAAACAGTAGCTATGACAGAGTTCCCTGGGGGAAATCTATAAAACCTGCTCCTACCATTTTTATTTACACTGCAGCAAAGCAGCGCTGGGTGCATCTGTACTTTTGCCTTCCCTCATATCCTAGTCATTGTGGCACTGAAAAGCATTACAAACAACTCTGCATTGTTTGTTGGTATTATAGTAAGGCCTGAGGGCTTGGTAATGGTTTCTTTCATTCATGGCTCTCCAAATGCTTCACAGACATCAATTAAGACTGGGAGCCCTGCTGCAGGTCAGGGAGGTTTTGCTGATCCCATTTTATAGATGAAGGAGCAGTTCGGAGACCTAGAAAGATTGAAGTCTGAAATCCAGAACCTAAGTCGTCATCTCACAGATCCTAAACCCTCTGTTTAGGGTGTCCTTCCTCACCTCCTCTGGCGAAATTCTCTCTTAATTTCACTGGTTGCTCCAGGAGCTATTTCAGACATTGACAGGCCATGTTAGCTTTGGGATTTTGAGACACTGCTCTTGCATATTGCCAAAAATTATGTGCCCTTAGCGCCATACTGTTGTGAAGAATGGTTTCTGATTAAAACAAGTCTCTGTTCTTTGGTTTGTACAGGGGTAGAACCCAAGAGCTCCATTGTGGATGAGGCTGCATTAGGCAAGGCATTTTAAGCCAGACAGCAAAGCATGCAGAGAGCTGATGAGCCAAATACAAAAGGCCTAGATATCTGCTATGATGTATTTGACAGCCTCCCTCACAAAAGAGAGAGGGTCTCTCCTCACTAAGACTCTCTTTGAAGGGCATATTTCTGAAAGCAAAATAAGTGGTTCCTACTGTGACTGTAACCCAGAAGACTCCTGATCCTAGTCTGTTTTTGCG